GCAACGCCGAATTGGTCATTAATAAATGGGTAGACGTTGCTTTCCTTGAGGGTTCCTTTGAATTAATCAAAAGAAGATTAAGAAATGTAAATCAGTTTGACAAAATGGTGAACACGTATGTATTGCAAACACAAGTAGTTGGACAGTTTATTGGCATTTTTTACAACGAAAATTATTGGAAAGTTTGAATCCAATTAAAATGCGGCAGACTTTACGGGATTTTATGGTAAATTACATGTAATCACCTTGGATTTTTATATTAATATATGATCTCCTTTACATTTCAAAATATCCGCATAAATCCCTATTGTTTCATGTAATATGAAAAATAGACGGAAAACATCAATGGTTACAGTGATTGAACTAGATGTGCTCCAAAAATGCATGTGGTGAATTAGTAATATCCGCTTAATGCTCCTACAATTCATAAATATCCACTTTAACCCTCTATAGATTTTGTATTTATCCACATAATTCTTCTATAACTTTATACAAGGTGGTCTGATTGTTGTTCGATTTAATATTTAAGTAAGGGCAATAATAGTAGTTCAACTAATAGTGTAACATAAGATATTTTTTTGTAAAATTTCTATTTTATATGAAACCATAGAGGGTTTATATGAATATTGAAAACATTAGGGTTGTCATGTGACAATCAATGAATCTATAGGGATTATGTGTATAATTTATCCTTTTAACTATATATAGAGAACTTTTTCTTAAAAGTATTGAACTAGTAGGTAGAGATTCAATTTGGGTCCACTTTACTCAATAGAGCATTAGTCAAATTACAATTATCCTCCACGATGACGCTGTTTGATATTTGTTAGCATCCTGAAATTTGCAATCCCGTCAAAATCCATTCTATTTTTTTTTTTGTCAAACGGTCAAAATCTATTACTGACGTATTGAATTTTGGTTAGAGACCATTCAGCTGATGGTTCACGTCCAGGCTACTTGGTTGACCGACTTGCTAAAATAAAGTCATCTTATAGACTACTCGTTTTCGTGACCTGTACAACTTTCATGATCCCTCAACCAAAACTTTGGCACCTATGTTACAATTGTAATTTGTGGATTTTTAGCCTTTTGCTCTTTTGATGCCTGCCTTTGAAATTTGTTGCTCCACTTCCATTATTACTTTGTTTGCTTATTAGCTTCCATACCACACTCACTAGCCCCGTTAGTTTTCTTGAGTATTACTGTGGAAATACTCCATACAATCCTAATAGTCCTACCGGCAGCATTTACAGAACCAATCTGAAATTCGTGCAAAATGCATTATATCGTAAGGGAATTTATTGTAATTAACCCTTAGGGATATCAATGTCTTTTTGACATTTCCATTATACAATGTTAGCATTGATTAATGGTTTAGAGGCTAAAGTCAAAAATCAAAAATAATGTTAGGGGACAAAGTACAAAATTGGTTAAATCTTAGGGGGGAGATTTTGTAATTAATCGTATATATATAGGCACAGACACATACACACACAACACTAATCTTACACTAAATAAAAACCCTTTGAATGAAAACATGAGTTTCATCTAAAACCTGAAAATTAGCAAATATAAAAACCCATCAGCATTCATCGATATATTTTAAAAAGTTTTTCATCCGTAACTAACAATAATTATCTAAAAATTCTTTAACATAGTTCCATGTACCATTAATTGATTCTAGTAAACCTTTCAGTAAACAGTTATTAAAAATCATTGAGTTTATAATTAAGCCTCTTTCAATTTCAAAATATTCAACTTGTGCAAATCAGAAAATATCAAGATTTGACAATGGTTAAAAGATTTAATTGTCCCGGCCGATTCACTGTTTTCACAAGATATTTATGCAGTTGGAATTTGGAAAGATCAATGATGTCTTTAGCTTTCGTGAAGGAGTCATCTCCGAAATCTTAATTTTAGAACATTCAAATATGACTCCAAGGTTACCTGAAAGACTAAAACTTCCAGAATGGACTAGATTTACATAATCGGAAGCTCATGAGTTTGAAAAAATCATACAAGAATGGGCTTTCCACCACTATATACATCAAGAGGCTAAAACTTTGATGAGAAACTGTTCCAAGATTTTGAATTGAAACAGTCAACCTTGAAAAAATTTCTACCTTCAATATAAATTGAACCAGAAGAATTACTTTATAAGTAGTAAAAGCCCTTTGGGAAAGCACATGGCACCTTAATCCAAGCTTTATACACCACATTATGACGGATTCAATGCAACTATGCTATGCAGACTTTTCTATGCAAGATCATGAGTTTTTCTTATTTCCAAGTCATGGTTCTGCTGTTGTAGAATACAAAAACCATGAAACTTCATCATAAACGGCTCTGTATCATATAGCTTCTAGGTTTAATAGGTTCTCCAATTTTCTAGAGTATTCATGGGTTAGGATCACGATCTTGAAACTGCTAAAACATGAATATGTCAAACCTTCAGCCATGAATTCTTCTTGTTTTTCATCATTGAATTTTCAGGATCATATGGTTTAGAACATGATCATAAGGTATCATAGGATACTCTGAAAGATTTTAATGTAAAACAATAACAATTTGTAAGTAACATGAAATAGAAGTAGCGATTTTACCCTACACAAAAATTCCTTCTCTTTCTTCTCTACCCTCCAATCCTCTCTCTGTCATCCACAATTACTAAGGAATATATCAGCGCCTACTAGCTAGTAGTGATCAAGGGTTTTTTAGGATCCTTCAATAGTTCCTTTCATTCGTGAAAAACCCTTTTCCTCTAAGTTCTTTTTTTTTTTTTCAAAAATCTGTTCTTCTTTTCCCTTTCTGGGCAATGATAAATGTTAATAATAACTAAAACAATAAAAATTATTCACATTTGATAATTTCAGCACTAATAGGTCGTAGAAGAATGTGCATCCTTATAATTACTAAACAGAATAAATATCTAAACTAAATACAAGCATCTTATGAACAACACAAATATGTACACCAAAATATACATATGTTGTAAAATTTGGGTGATTTTGACAACAAAAATACTGAATTAGATTTAAAATCCTGCACAATAATTTCTTAACACGAACAAAAAACAATATAAAAAGAACACCAATCTTGAAAAGTTAATTTTAACATAAATTAAAAGCCAACAAGCACATGGCGTATTAAATTGGACAGGTATTTCTTTCGTTGGAGGGCCCTTTGATTTAATGCCTGTCTTGTGATATTCCCACTTGAGCCAAAGAAAAAGAAAAGTCCATGAAATGTAAACAAGTTGGACAAAATGGTGAAGACACTCATATATATTGCAAATGGTATTTTCGACAATGAAAATTATTTGGAAGTTTCAATCCAATAACGAAAATGCGACAGACTTTACATGATTTGACCAGGTTAAATTAGCCCCCCCCAACCCCCCCAAAAAATAATTTTCCATATTTCCATACAATCCCTTTAGGATTTCAAAATATTTATGTAACCTCCTGTGGTTTCATGTAATATGAAAAATGGACAGGAAGCACCAATAGTTACACTGATTGAACCATATATAAAAAACGTGTAATGAAATCAAAATATCCATTTAAAGTCCCTACGATTTGCATGAATATTCACTTTAGCTCTCAATAGTTTTTGCATTTATCCACATTATTCCCGTATGATTTTATGTATGGTGGTTAAAGTGTTGATTGATTTAGTGTGCTTGAATAGGACAGTACTAGTAACTAACAATATTACGGGATTTATTTTCCTTCAAGTTTTCACTTTACATGAAATCACATGAGATTTATGTGGGTATTTAGAAATATTAGGTCGTTTATGTGACAACAAGTGAATCCACGGGGGTATTATGTATAATCTATCCTTTTAACTGTATATAGAGAACTCTTTCTCAAACCAGTATGAACTCTGAACTACTAGGTAGGGATTCCATCTGGGTCCACTTTATTCTTCTCAGCATTAGTCAATTTCCAATTATCCTCCACAAATGTCGTTGTTCGATACCCTTAGCATCTACTGACTATAGAATCTTGGTTACAGGCCAGTCAGCTGATGGTTCACGTCCAGGCGACTTGGTTGTAAGACTTGCCAAGGTCAAGTTTTCCCAGGCCATAAGTTTTCCTGGCTTATACAACTTTCATGATCCCTCAAAAAATACTTAATTTGGCTCCTAATCTACCAATCTAGTTTGTAGGTTGTTAGCCTTTTACTCTTTTGATGCCTTCCTTTGAAATGATCTCCAGAAATTTGTTGTTCCACTTCAAATATTACATGCTTTGTTTGCTTAGCTTCCATACCATTGAATATTGTTGTTCCACTTCCAACGACACAAACCCCTGGAACTATCTTGACTCTTCCTGTGGAAATATTACATACAATCCTAACAGTCCTTCCGGCAGCATTTACGGAGCCAATCTGAATTTATTGCTTTACAATCTGTCTTCGCATGCATCTCGGACAGACAACAATGGCTTCTATAATTTCAGTACTGGCGATGACCCTTCAAACAAGGTCTATGGCCTCTTTCTCTGTCGAGGTGATGTCAGCACTGATGTTTGCAAAGAATGCGTCGCAGATGCCCACACACGACTACTTCATGAGTGCCCGAATCAAACAGCTGCTATTGTTTGGTATGACGAGTGCTTGGTACGTTTTTCTGACCAGACGATCTTCTCCAAGGCTGATTTGGGAGAGAATTTGACTAGGCGCAATCCATTCGATGTCCCTGGACCTGACTGGGACAAATTCATAATAGTATTGATCAATTTGTTGCATAACGCTGCGGATGAGGCTGCAAATCATGCCATAAAGTTGTGGACCAATTATTTTGGACCAATATTTTTGCACTATCACTTTCTACATTTGCCGATAAAATCATCAGCTGCATTGAAAAATCAGAGGGTTCTTCATTTATGACAACTTCATTGGATGCATGACTTTCACTATCCTGCTGCATCCCCATCAAAGAAAACACTAGCCAGCTCTGCACACAACAATCTACTGCCTGAGAAAGATCAAAGATGGGAAGCAATTTATGGCTGCAACAACTTCACATTAACTGCAACTACTAATGTTCTGTCATGAAATTCATTCATGGCCATGTAGTATTACATAGCAAGAAAAGAAAGAAAGAGGCTCAACTGTCTACATGATTAAAGGGCTTAAACCTCAGACGCACTCAAACTTTAGTTTTTAAACTTTAATTTTGGATATTTCACATTTGTCACGCATCATTACAATCACTCACTCAATTGTCAAAGTGGGATGATTTCATTAATAATTATACTGAAGTGGGACAATTTAAAACCTTTATAGCTAGTTTGTGAGTTGAGGATAGAAAAGAAAAGAAGAGAAAGGGTAAGTTATGAGGGAAAAGAAAGGATAAGAAAAAATTTTGTAAGCTTCCATCAGTTTTCCTTCGCTTTCCGCCCGTTTGGTCAGAAAAAATTTTGCACTGTAGCAGCGCTAGGCTTCCCTTCAAGATCCGTCCGTTTCTTTTCTTTTCCGTCTTACTTAAATGTCCCAAACGTAGAAAAGTCCACCTTTCCCTTCCTTTTTTTTTCTATTCCTTTGAAATCTGAACTCCCAAACTAGCTATTAGGGTGAAGTGTCTGTGGAGTGCATTTATATTTTAAAAGCTAAAAATGTAATTTACCTATTTGATTATGCTTTCTGGAGTTATTGTTTAAATTTGTGTAGATCCAGAAAATAAACGATCATTGAACTGGTCAAGACGTTACAATATCATTGGAGGTATAGCAAAAGGACTTCTTTATCTGCATGAGGATTCTCGTCTAAGAATTGTTCATCGCGATCTCAAAGTAAGTAATATATTATTGGATGGAAATATGAGTCCAAAGATAGCAGATTTTGGCATGGCAAAGATTTGTGGAGTTGATCAATATGAAGGAAACACAAATAGAATTGCTGGCACAGTGTAAGTTTTGCTCCCATACTATCTTTTCTCACATAATATCACTTTGAATCTTTCATGGAAAATTATGTACACCTCCATTTGATTGCATCATTCGGATTATCTTTGTGCTGATTATAACAATCGTTGTGGCTTGTAGTGGTTATATGGCTCCTGAATACACAAGGTGGGGTCAGTTCTCACTAAAGTCAGACGTGTTTAGTTTTGGGGTTGTAATTTTGGAAATTGTCACGGGCAAGAAGAGCAGTGATTTCCATCAATTTAGAGATTCCGAAGACCTTCTAAGCTATGTAAGTACAAATTGCAAAACCTTTGCTATAGTTGTTACTTTTTTTTCTTTTATTTTGGCTTTTGCAGAACTGGGGAGGAGGATTTGACATTGGCACTCCTAATTTTCAACCTTTTATCTTTTCTTTTCTTTTTCATTATTAAATTCACCTAAACTTGCAATACCATTTTTTGTGTGAACCAGACCAAAATGGCACGATAATTTATGAACTACCTGCCCTAAATAAATACGTATTTCTGTTTATGTGCTTCTTATGGAAATTTTTGGATGTCGGATGCAAGACTTGTCATAATTGCTATTCTTTCTCTCGTTTTGTACGTTGTCACACACTCAAAGTAGAGTACTTGTAAATTTCAGTAAAGACCATTGTACTTCTTTCTCAGGTTATACTTAACTACAATGATGGGAAAAAAGGTTGTGATTCGAAATCTTTTATGAATAAATCTCGTATATCAGACAGTGTATATACTATCACCGTTAGATTCATAACATGTATGCAAAAGTTAAATTTAAAATTTAAATTTTGCATAATTGTTGTTCAACCAACAATGACAACAGTGTATACACTGTCAATGTAAGAAAGATTAATCAATCTTTTTATATGATTAAACTTGAAATAGAGAGTATTGACAATTGCCTATTGTGAATATTGACATTACCTGTATATCTATTTAAGCTAATTGAAGTTTTTAAGTCTGAACTCCTCATACGTGGGATTATTTCGAAAAGGCTTGGAACCATTGGAGACGCGGCCAAACTTTAGCTCTTTTGGATTCAAGCGTTGGAGATTCTTATGCCAGAAATGAAGTCATTCAATGCATCCAAGTTGGCTTACTATGTGTTGAAGAAGATGCCAGTAAAAGACCCAAAATGGCTTCCGTGGTCAGCATGCTCAATCCTGGTTCTGTTTCCCTACCAACTCCACATCGTCCGGCAGTTTTCCGGAGCAATGGATCGGAGAGCAGGGTAGACGAGCTGAAAGTTGATCAATCCAACACTCAAAGAATTTCAGCTCCAAGCTCTGTCAATGATGCATCAATTACTGAACCATATCCCAGATGAAGGAAGAAATAGGCCAATTCTGGAAGAAAATATCAAGTTCATCATCAGCATTATGTTGTAGATTTTGAAGCATGATTCATTTACCAGGAAGGTATCTAAATTTGCCCACTATTGTTGGAAATTAGGGGATCGTTTCAATGTTTGCTTCTTCACACTAATTGACTTCTTCCGCCTTAGGGGTATAAGGATGTGCTTGAAAGAAAATGCAAGTTGTTGTCGCTCTTTAGATATTTTTTAAAAATAGAAGAGCAATTTTATTTATGAACATTAATCCCCAGCTGATCGAACAAACAATGTGTCTTGAACTTTTATCATTTGTACATAGCAAAGTTGGCTTCCAAACTGAGTCTATCAATTATATCTTTGTACCAACGAATTATGAAGGATAGCCCGGCCGGGTTTACAATGTATACGTTTGGTAACAAAACCAATATAAAGGCTGTCTTGGTTCACAATTCTTGGAGTGTGTTATTAGTTAAAAGGCGTTTAAATTATATCAGATTCATCCTGATTTGGAACTTTTTCAGCATTCAATGATTTATTATCACCTAAGCTTTCTTAAGTATTCTATTGTAATAACATTGTACGTGCATTCATACAATCTTCGTATTTGTTATTCCTTCTTTTTTTTTTTTGGTTCAAAGTATTTACCCAATTTTGTCATTTAATTTTCTCTTTTCTTTATTCTTTTCCTTATTCATTTAATGTAACTTAGCCAATCTTTTTCCCTTTTCTTCAAGCAAAGAAAAAACCATTCATATAATTGTGTAAATCTGATGGCTATCCCAACTATCAATGATTACGCAAAAAAAGAAAAAGGATAGTTGATGCATTTATACAATCTTCACATTTAGCATATGAACTTTTTCAAGTGAATAACTACATCTGTGAATTATTCTGCTACATAAATAATCACAAATAACCTAGAAATCTTGAGAATTTAAAGGTATATAAAATTCCATGAAATCCCCAAATGCATAGATGAAATTTAGAGTATGGAAATTGATATTAAAAAATACAAAATTATCAACCCAAAATAATACAAGTGAATACCTTAGCAAGTGTATGAGAGATAATGGCAGATCAACAAAATATTTCTTATTCTTCATCTTGGATTTTTCTTTCCTTCATTTCACTCTTTCTTTTTCTGGGTAAGGAAAAGCCAGGGAATTGTGATGTTGTGATTGGCAGGAAAAAATATTGGCACTTTAAGGAGGACTCCTTATTTCATAATTTTTTTAAAACTTTTTAACTCAAATTGGTGTCCAGATATATTATAGGTGATGGCGTATAAGTGTAACAGTAGAACACTTAAAAGGAAGTTTAGGTTGCAATACCTAATTGGGTGCCTATAAAGTCTTAATATATACCCTTAGTTAAGATATGTAAATGTTTTATCCATATCAAATTAGACATCATCTAATAAAATTAGATTAGATTAGTTACTGATTTAAATGTTGTCTTATCTTTTGGGTTTATATTTTGTGCCCCCAAAGCACCGAATAAGGAGTGGGTCTCCTTTTTTTTTTTTCAAAAGGGTAATTTGTTTGCTAAAGTGCTGCACTTCAAGGTGGTAATTTTAAAGGTTTAATGGAGGGCCGCCTTCCTTTTTCTATATGCTTATTTGGTGCTTTAAGCATCAAATAAAAAAAATCTTGATGTAAAGATAAATGAAACAAAAATAATAAATATTTCCCCTGTTTTTTGTCTTCCTTATCATAGAGCAAGTATTGTAGGGTCTTTATTTTGGGCAAAAAACTGCGGTGGTCCTCAAACTTTCAACTTTGTGCACTTTTAGTCCTTCAACTAATAAGTTCGTAAATGTAGTCTTCCAATTAATAAAAATGTGTAGTTGTAATCCTTTTGTCTAATTTAGCCGTTAAGATGGACGGGATGATACAAAAATGATACAAAGAATAAAGGGATAATTTCAGAAACCTCCCTTGAGGTTTTTAACAATTTCATTTAGCTCCCTGGGGATTTTAAAAATTATACATACCTCCTTATCATTTAAAATGACAATACTACCCTTAAATATTTTAATGAAATTTCCTTGTTTGGTATGTTTATACTTAGAATGACTTTTAAAATTATTTTTTCATTCTTTTTCCATCTTATTCCTTTTTTTAAAAATTTTTTGCCAATAAAGTGGTAGAACTACCACTATTACCTCTAGTTTCTATTGTAACCAAATGTCCAACAAGTGATTTTTTTTTTTGATGAGTTAACTTTATATGCAATACAATATTTTTGCTAATCTTTGTTTTCTATTTTTTGGTATTAAAATTAACAATAAATCAAAAGAAAATGGTCCAAAATCACTATTAAATTATGATAATCCAACTATTCAAAAAATTCATAAATTCTAAATAAATTATTTCAACATTTTCTTTTTTATCTTATAAATTTAAATCCATAATAAAATACCATCAAAAGCATCCTATCATAGTCATAAAAATATTATTATAGTTGTTTATCAAATAATAGGTATGGACATGAAAAATTTGGCACATTTTTCTTATAATTATACTAGATAACCTTATAATTGTATAGGGAAGTAAATTAAAACTCATTACACAAGGGTATTTTTGGTTATTCATTTAAAAATTTGACCTAGTCAATACTATTTTAAGGTTTTGTTACTAAAACTATCAAATCAAGGGAAGTAGTTGTAATTTTCCAAATCTCAAGGGAGCTCAATGAAATTGTTAGAAAACTCTAGGGAGGTTTTTGTAATTATACCAAAAATAAATGTCATATGAGCAATCCATTATATGTTTTCCATCCATCTTAACAGCCAAATTGGACGGAAGGACTATAACTGCACAATTTTATTAATTGGAGGATTACATTTATGCACTTATTAGTTGGAGGACTAAAAATGCGTAAAGTTAAAAATTTAAGGACCACCGCAGTTTTTTGCCCTTATTTAAAATTAGTCTATCTAACAAATAATGATTATTAGTGTATGTTTATATATGATAGATGGGATGAAATATAGGTTCATTAATAAGTGGCCTTTTGACATCAGTTGAAATAATACTTTGATCTAAATTTAAATTAGAAACCATGGCACAATCATCTGAAATAGAATGGCGTAGTAGAAGTCTTGACTCCAACAAGCATTGCTTCCTTCTCGGTACTAACACTGTGAATTGAACCCTCCTCAGAACCACAAAGCATATGCCTTTTTTTTCAATTATAAATTATTCTTTTTTTTAATTTTACTCACAAATTATTCTTAAAGTTTTAAAAAAAAAAAGAAGTCTCCACCCCTAACATTCATGCATATGTCTCGTACTAATAAAAAAAAAAAAAAAAGTCCAACTCTGATTCCCGTCCAAAACCAAATTCCGCCATGTCAACTACTTCCATAAAAAATAAGAATGCCCAAATACCAATTTAGTTATCCAACCCTATAACAGAAAGCCCAAGTCAAAACAATTGAAAAACCCACCATCCCACCGTCACCTATTGATGGGTTTTTACTTTAAGTGCAAGTTTAATTCCGAATTTACACCCGTTGGACTGCAAGTATACAGGTCGCAATTGTAGTACAAGATATGTATCGGGTCGATCCCACGAGGAGCAATTAAAACAATTATTAGATACTAATTTACTCTATTATTTAGACTTACAATTAATTTGAGCAGAAACTTCAGATTTTAATTCAACTACAAAAATTCTTAAATAGATAAATGCAATTTCACAATAGGAGTAGAATTCACTAAATATTAAGATCTAGGGATGTAGATTCCACATATAACACAAAAGATCTAAAACGAATGAATTTAACACTTGTTACTACTCTTGTTTAACCAAGGATTCATTTCCAACAATACCAAAATCACATTTTCATGATAATAATGGGTTAAAACAGATTAGTTTTTCCTAATCTCTTGGAAAATACTAAATCTGTTTTGTGCATACCTGAAATATAGATTTTATCCACTTGAATGTATTTCTATTCTCATGAATATACTACTCAAGCTCTACTTATGTCATTCCATTATTTTTACCATTTCTCAATGAGTAAAAACAACTATAAACCTGCTATTGGTGATCAAGCAATAACAAGTAATCCAACATACACAAGTAGATAAGTTAATACAAGACATAACAAGCATAAATCACAATCACTTCATATCATTTGGCCATAAGCTTCATCTACTCCCTAGATAAAGGAAATTAGCTACTCATGAATGATGAAACACTCATAACTTCATTAATGTAAATCATCAGGAATTACAAATACAAACAGAGTAAAGAAAGTCTTAGCCAAGATATGGTAAAGCCCTCCAAAAATCTCTTTTGTCTTGAACTTAGATGATTACAAGATGAAACCTCAATTGCCCCTTGCAAGTACCTAGGTAGAGAGAATATGTTTTTCTGTAAGAAGCTGACGTGCGCGGAGTATACATATACAATTAAGCTCATCCTAATCAAGTTTTACATTTATAAACTCCTAAATACCCCACACGCGATTTATCGCAAGTATACGAATCGTGAGCGAGTATAGGGTATTAAGGGTCGATCCCACAAGGAAGATTGCAATTACCGGTACTACTAAAGCTTCTCTATTATTTAGACTATCAATGAATTATAAGAAATTTAACCTACTGAAATTATACAAAATAACAAATAAAAGCTCCTTAGGTTGTGGTATCCCTAACTACTCATGCAAGTGCTATATTTGGATCATTGAATACTACATCTAGGCTAGTTATGGTGTAATTTCCTTAAACATGTGAAACCTACTTTCGTAGTGAATCAACTATACTCATAACTAATCCATACCTATTTTCATGGTTATGAAATTAGCTACAAGTTCATTTCTTCAATGAAATTACATGAAATGAATCACTAAAAATCACATAAGTGCACCTCTACTTTCGTGAGTGTACTCCCTATGTTTAGCACTTCTTGAACTAGTGTTAAATCTCAATTTTCATTGCAGAAACAACACCTTAGATAATCACAATTAATGGTACCAGATTAAT